GTCGGGCTGCCTGCTTCGGGATGAGCAAGAGGAGCAGACCACTGAAGCCACGGAGCTCGAATGTCCATCGTAAAATTAACTTTACCGCGGTTTAATGTGGTGCTATGGCTCTGCAGACATTGCACGTTGTTGTTTTGCTTTGTGGTATTTCTAGTGTAAAATACTTCCACACAGCAGACATGTTTCAATGAAAAGTTGGTTAGCCGTTAGCAATAGTGCTACTGCACGCTTTAGCTGGCTGCAAACTATGAAATGGATTTCCTGAATGTGAGGCGGGTCTTATTACTCAGGGTTTCATGACACACACCTCTGTTCAGGAAATCCATTACATAGTTTGAAGCTAACTTGCAGAGTAGCTGGCAAGGAATTACATGAGAAGTTTCAGCAGACATAGACAGGCATCATAGCTCGGAAATCTCTGCATGTTGGATCGGAAAAATCTGATACGTAAATTATGTTGGTATCGGAGCCCAATACAGATACCAGATCGGCCCCATCCCTAGTTAAAATAATAACTGATCACTTTAGGGTCTGTCACCATGGTAACTGATAACTTTAGTCTCGGTTACCATGATAAGAGATGACTTAAGTGTCTGTCACCATGGTAACGGATGACTTTAGGGTTGGTTACCATGATAAGAGATGACTTAAGTGTCTGTCACCATGGTAACCGATGACTTTAGGGTCTGTTACCATGGTAACTTATGAGTTTTTGGGTATGTTACCATGGTGACCATAGGTCTGTCACTGTGGGAACAAATGACTTTAGGGTCTGTTACCATGGTAACTGTCTGTAAGATAACAAAAAAGGTTGAATCATGTCATCTGGACTTCGTTTTTTTGTTAAAAAGAAACGTTTCGCCCCTCATCCAAGAGGCTTCGTCAGTCTGAGGCCTAGCCATCTGGTATTACCCAGAAGCCACCCTGACTCTTGTGTTTCAAGCCTGCCTCAGATACCCCTGAAGTCTGGCCTTTTCACTAATGGTTTCAAAAACACAAAGTTTGTTTTCTCAGTCATGACATGATTCAACCTTTTTTGTTGTTATATACCTGGATGACTGAGAAAACAAACTTTGTGTCTGTAAGATAGTAACCCCAACTTCTCCTCCACCATAACCCTCAGCACTGGCTCCCCTCAGTGCTATGTGTTGAGCCCCGTCCTGTTCACTCTGCTCACATACAGTATGACTGTGTGCCTACCCATTCAGGCAGTCATATTGTAAAGTTTGCAGATGATACAGTGGTGGTGGGATGCATCACAAACAACGAGTCTAGGTACAGACAGGAGGAGGTGGAACACCAGGAGAGCTGGTGCAAGAAGAACAACTTCCACATCAATGTGAAAAAGACGAAGGAGATGGTTGTGGGCTTCAGATGGAACAACACCCCCCCCCCCCCCGCCGAATATTGGAGGATTTGTGGTGGAAGTGGTCTCCAGCTACAAGTACTTGGGTGTGCACCTGAATGACAACCTCAGCTGGGCCAACAATACTACCAATCTGATCAAGAAAGCACATCAGAGACTCTACTTCCTCAGGCGGCTGAGATGAGCTGGTCTGGGAAGCTCAGTCCTCACCTTCTACAGGTGTGCAGTGGAGAGCATCCTGTGCTCCAGCACACAGAAAACTGCAGAAAGAAAAGCTCTGCAGAGACTGGTGAAGGCTGCACAGAAGTCTGTTGGAGTCAGCCTCCCCACCATCACAGACAGATGTCTGTGACCTCCAGATGCAGGAAGAGGGCCACCTGCATTATGAAGGACCCCACTCATCCAGCACACACTCTTTTTGCCCCACTACCCTCAGGCAGGAGGTTGAGGACCCTTAAGTGTTGAACCACTAGACTGAGGAACAGCTTCTTCCAGGATAACCACTGTGAAAAAAAAAAATAGTAATCACTGTAATGCCACTTTAATGGTGATATGTGACTTATCTGTGCTACTGATTATCCATGCTGCTGATCTCATGCTGCTGTATTCATTCACATCCATCTACTCACCACAGACTCATGTTAGAGCTGCTGTTTAATGCACCATATAATAATAATAATAACAATAACAACAATAATAATAATAATAAAAATAATAATAGCAATAAGCACTATGTGTTGTCATCATTGTATGTTAACATACAATGGCGAAATTAGTCTCTGCATTTAACCCATTGCACCTGGGATACACCCAGGTGGAGCAGTGGGCAGCTATGTAAGCGCCCGGGAAGCAATTAGGGGATTAGGTGTCTTGCTCAGAAACACCAAGACATTATTTTACATTATTAGTGTTAGATCTAAAAGATCTAACTTAGATCTAACTTAGATCCTTTCGCATACTGTTTAGCATTTGTTTAGATCTTAGATCCTTACATCTTTTTATACTTTTTATTATTGATATTTTTGGGTGTAACTGGGACCTTGACACAATTTCATTCCACCTCATGTACCATGTAATGCAAATTAAGGCTGCAACTAACGATTATTTCAATAATCGATTCATCGGCCGATTATTTTTTCGATCAATCAATGAATCTGCAAAATAAAACAAACGTTTTAATTTCCACCCCTTTATTCCAAAATTGAACATTTGACTGACATAGCAATTCGCACAAAAAACAGGTTGCTATTTGACTATTCTGTTAGTAAAATATTGAATAATAAAAAATAAAAGTTAGTCAAATAGCTTAAAAAAATAAATGTACACAAAAATATATACAAATGTATCTTTAAACCTGCACAATATGTAGCTACTTTGTAAAATGTGTCATTGAGGGAAGAGCGTAACCTGGATTAAAAGTGTGGAATATTGTAACCTGGATTAAAAGTGTGGATTATTGTAACCTGGATTAAA